CGCTATTATCCGTTGACGTAAGTGGTTTTCATTTTCGATTGGGACGCTATAATAGTATATTATTTCCCAAGGTTGGAAAGCCACGCATTCTAGACCGAGCTCAAATTAGAACTCGAAACGCGCAGCGTCTTTACAACCGTGGTTAATGTACTATTTTTTTCACTAGTGAAACCATAAGACAATAAATTAAAAAAATAAATGTTCAATTTTTTGACGCCACATGATTTTGTTTTGATTTCTAATCAAACTTAATCTAAATCTTCAACACAAAGAAAACCGTTTACACTTGTCGCTGAATTAATCATTTTATCTTCCACTGTCTACCAACTACCATGCGTGTACTCAAGTAATGTTAGTAGCACACATTTATTCATTTTTAAGAAATAATCACATCAAGTATTTCGTACATAACCTCAATCTTCTTTTTGAATCTTGGTCGCAAAAGTTGAACTTTGCTACCTCTAAATAAGTCGACATGTTTCATGGCGGCTAGTGAAAAAACGTCATTTTTCACCTTCCCCCAAAGAAAAAAATCTAAAGGTGTTAGATCAGGGCTCCGTGCAGGCCAAGTGTACTCTTCTTCTCTAGTAATAAACGCTCTGTGTAAATAGTTCCTAACGTCTCTTTGATAATGAGCGGGACAGCCATCATTTTAAAACCAAATTATTCTTCGTATGTCTAGCTCTACGTTTTCCAACAATTCAAGTAAAATATTCGTTAAAAAATTGAGATACGTAGGTCCGTTTAAATTTCCTTCAAAAAAATGTGGACCAATGACGTGGTTAACAACAATTCCACACCAAGCATTAACTTTGAAAACTTCTTGGAAGTGCTTTTCCTGATACCAATGGGGATTTTGCTGGGCATTGTAATGAGAATTGTGTCTGTTTACGCACCCGTTATTCGTAAATGTGGCTTCATCCGTAAACAAAACGTTAAATAAAAATCTTGATTGTCTCGTAACTGAGCCCTCACGAATTCGCAAAACACTAACCGTCGGATAAAATCGCGTTCTGTTAAATGTTGGAAAATTGTCACATGGTAAGGATGAAATCGGTTTGTGTTAAACTTTCTTTGTACTTCAAGTCAGACAAGGTTAAGTTTTCTTTGGTTTTCTTTATTGAACAAAAAGGCGCCTTGTAACTAAAGAAACATTCCTGACAATTCACATACTAATATTAAAATGATGGACCCTCACAGACTTTGCTTTCAATACCTTCAATAAATTCAAGACTACACCGCCATTTTTATTACTAATTTCTATCTGGTCCTCTCACTCACCTACAAACATACTAACCACTAGATGTATAAAATAAGTAATTTCAACAGTTTACCTTTAAAATGTTGAAAAACGAACCCGAACTAATCTCCATTTGTCTTGCAATCTGTCTTTGACACACATGGGGATTTTCTGCTACAATTTCAATTAGTGCAACTTCATTATCCGGCGTTGTTACAGTTCGATTTCTAACTTTATTTTTTTTGGATTGCCCAAAGTCTCGTAAATTTTTTTCAACTTTTCTAAACGCTTGATTTGAGGGAGTTCTTTTATTGGGATATTGCCTGGCGTTGAGTAGAACAGTCTGTTTTTTCAAAATTCGAAAACATTTTAAAACAAGCGAAAATTGAAAATATTTGACTGACAGAAATAATTTGTCATAATTTGGTTCTGATCATTGCTATCTATGGGTTTATTATTATTTAAAAATAAAAATTAATCAAAGCTGTTTATGATACGTAAAATGGGTTGCCTATGCAGAAATATTCAGACGTGAACAGATAAGATGAACACCCGTCTGACATGTCAAAGGCCTTTGACAAAATAAATCACGAATTGCTGTTGGTAAGTGTTTAGTTCTTATTTTTATAACAGGAAACAACTTGTCTGTATAAATAGTGATCTATCAGATGCTTATATTGCTGTTACTGGGGTGCCCCAAGGTTCACACTTGGGTGCTTTACTATTGACTGTTTATGTGAATGATATTGTACAAGTATTGTAATGTGACTCACTTACGTATGCTAATGACCTGAAGATCTATAACATAATTAATTCTTGGGAAACAAAAACAAATCTTGCTAAAGATACCAGACAAACTTTATTTCGTCATTTCATAGTGAAGACCACAAGAAATATTTTACTATGAATTATGTAGTGCATTTGTTGTGACAAATATACCTTTGAACAAACTTAATAACAAAACATTGCACTTATTTCTGGAGAGAAACTGCAAAAATAATTCTTACCTTCAATAATCGAAATAAAAAATGAAGATTAAAATTAGCACAATGTATGTATACCAAATTGTTATAGCAAAATTTCAAACTGACGACCACTTTTTTACACACATATCTCAACACGCGGAATTAATGACTGCTGCGTCCTGGTAATCATAACTGGATCAGCTCTATCTGTGGAACGACATCTTGAATTCACTTTGTTAACTCTTGCACGGTACTCAGAGGAGTTTTATGACCAGCTATTTCATTAGATCTCGCAGAAAAAGTCACATGGATTGAGATCGGGGGAACGAGGTGGCCACAACACCGGCCCAGTTCTTCCGATCCACTTCCAGACTATTATAAGCAGCAACTTCATCATAAAGGTACCACAAATCTGTACGTTTATCCAAGGGTACCTGTTCTAGAAATGGTCCCAGAACGTGTCTTGAAAATGGTTGTCCTGAGGATTTTCGTCGGACCAAATGTGCGTATCTTGGGGATTAAAAATACCTTCTGTGGGGAAAATGGCTTCATCTGTTGATAAAAATTTTTTGGATAAAGTCTGGTTGTTCTCTTGTTTGTTTAAAATTTCGCCATACAGAAATGGGGAAACTCCTAACCGGTACACTAATGCTTAGATTCTCTCCCACGATGCCCAAAATCTCTACCCGTTCAGTTTTCTCAACACCACGGTCCGCAATACGTGGCCAAAAGTCATCGTTTTCCCGGAGATGCTATGATGCTGCAATCTTCAATCAATTTTGTCGCCAAAACTAAACAAATTTTTAATACAACTTTTTTTCTTAAAGGCATCTACTTGTCTATAGCAATTTCCGCTCTTTTTTGTCGACGCATTTTAAAACACTCTGTATATATAAAAAAAAAACTATATGGCTTCGTGCACTATAGCGGGTGTTCATCTTTTGTAAACATTGTGAAATATGTCTACAATAAATCTAAAATTTAATTCTTGATAGCTAACAAGTTGGAAATGTCAATTATACGCAATAGTATGGATTAATAAAACACGTGCGTTTTTCGCAACGCCAACTTAACGACTTTTTCAATTGAACACCTGTAACAACGACCAATAGTAAACACAAACCTTTATTTTATTAAGTACTTTCTTCAGTCACTTTTAAACAAAAAGACTGAACGAGTACGTTTTAGAGGAGAAAGAAGATTTTTATATTTTTTAATCGTTGTATATGTGAACGATTTCTCATGGAGTATAGTGGCATGTTTGGGAACAACATATATTTGGCTAGGTCGGGTGGATAGTGCATGGATTTTTTCATTTTTAATTCATGTTTTATTTAAATAAGAGGGAGATTCGTATGTGTTGTTCCAAAAAAACAAATGGGACCAAGTGCAAATACCGGTATTCATTTAATCTCAACCAATATGATGCGTTTTGCAAAATTTTAAAGTTGTGCACAAATCTGTAGTGTAAACTGAGAGTAGAAGTGGTCCTGAAACACTACCTTGCGGAATTCCTCTAGAACTTGCTGACAATGATTTGATAGATATCTTTTTTTAAATAACAGTGCCTAGATACTTAATTCGAAGTAATTTAATTTCAAGATTAACATGTCACGTTCTAAGGTATGAAAATTCTTACTATAATCTAATATTATCAACCAGGTTGTCTTATTTTCGTCACAAGCTTTAAAAATGTTATTTGTAATGTCTATCAAAGCAGTTGTACATACTCGGTCCTATAATATTTTCGAAATGCCAGTTGTGCTGAAGGTAAATATAAAGAAGTGTTTTCGTAACATAATGCGTTCGAGTCATCAACAGTGTGGGTGATTAAAGTATGATTAATAATGAATTCTAAAATATACAGGATTATACACGAAAGATAATGAGCTTCCAGACTTTAAAATGCCACGAGTAACACATTTTCAAAAGTAGTTTGGATCTTAGTTTATGAATTTAATTAACACAATACATGGTTAGACGTTGTTTTAGAATTTTTTTACACAAAAGTCAATGTTTAGGTTAGATGACATTAATAACTAATAATTGTTTATTTAATGTAATACGGGTTCAAAAAACTGACCCTATTGTAAGTCCTAGCGAGAATTTTTTAATTTGATACATCTGCTCTTTAACTGCGTACCCTAGAAAAAATCCAGGGGTGTAAGGTCTGGGCTTCGCGAAGGCCAAGGATTGATGGAATCTTTTCCAAGATAAGGACCAACATTCTGACTAATACCGGTTACTCTTGAGATCATATTTTAGGTTCGTAACTGTTCTTCTTCGTTTTCTTTCCAAGGGTGGCCAATTTTCTCTTAAAACACTTTTCAACCTTTTGAAAATAGTATCAGCAGGAATTCGTCTATCCAGAAAACGTGCTCTGTGTAGACAAGTAGCGGCTGAAGCATTTTTTCTGCATTTACCAGAAATCACGCTATTAAATCCACATTGTCATCATTTGAATACATTTTGACAAATTTAATTTTCAAAATCAAATTGAAAGAAGAGGTATTGTGGATTCATAGTATATTTTACTTCATAGTATGCCCTTAGGTATCTGTGCGATATGTATTCTTGGTTACATCTTAAATCTTGCAGGTTCGTGGTCTCTCGTGCGTAATTATAGTGTCATTAAAAAAATGTAGATGTCGTAGACAAACACAAAAAGATGTATTTATTTGTTGTCAAAACACATTTATAGGATATCATTTAGCTTCTTACACAGTTATTGATGTTATTTACCTGTATTTGTTTCAATGTACATAAGGTTATCACAGTAATTTTATCATCCTGGCAACCCTTATAGGAGCATGATAATTAAATAGTGCTAATATTTGAGCCGACACAAGATACTCATATCAATTTTTATATTTGAAACAAAAATTGAAAGTAATTGATATAATATTTCCAACCCTAACCAGTAGACACAGACATTTCTACCCAAAGTATAGTCTTTTTATAAACGGTTTTATTGTCCTATACTGAAGTTAGTTTTATTATTTGACCTTCAATTTTTTCTGACTTAACTTTTTTTTAACTTCAAATGGTATTAGTAAAAATTTATTACTAGTAGGTAGTATGTGGCAGTGTGACAACGTCTTTTCCTGTTGCTTCGCTTAACGCAGAAGTGCCAAAAGTACATACATTCTAAAATTATACTCAAACTAACATCAACACTAATGAATTTTTACTTTAGGTCTCCGCATCCTGAATTTCTTGCTTCAGTTTTTTGTAAAACATATACACACCATATTCGCATATTGTCGCAAAAGACAATATTGCAAGATAAGCAACGAATAAGACAAAAGCAGAAATAAAGTTATCATATTCCATAGTCGCATATAGGAATATCCAACCAATGATTACTATAACCAAGCTAACAACTGTTGCCAAAAAATGACGACAAACCATTTTTGGTTTGCGCTAAAACAAAATTTCAAAAATGGGTGATTAAGAAATGTAACTTATTTTTACCATTGCTGCACCAAATAATAACAACACACCGCTACCGACGTATGTTAAATATCCAAGTAACAGTATAACTAATCCTGCCATGTTAATGTGTTCGCAAAGCAGGATATTTACAACCGTCATAGCGATTCCACCACTCTTGAAGTATACATTTTATCAGGGAGTGTTAAAACAATTTGCTTACGTACAATATGGTTACAAATCACATAGCTCACAGAACATAACAAACAAACTTCCTTCAGGCCCATTTTACAACGTTGTCAAAATAAGTTGTTTCTACATTTTTATCCTGCAACATATTTGATTATAGTTTAAATATTGAAAAATAGTTACAACCTTTTGCATTTTTTGATTTTGGGGACCAAAATTTGACTTAACAAATGTCTAAATGAATGAAATTTGACGTTTTGTTGATGGACGAGGCGATTCAGTTTGGAACCAAAGTCGCAAATAAGCTTTGTGATATTTGATGCCGTGTGTCAACATTCTTATGAGATTTGTGTAGTAGAAGTAGAATTCTTTTCAAAACTGTCACGATCCAAACACGAAAATCGAATGTCCCTTAGATAAATTAGATTGGCGACTTCACACTGAAAGTAATTCAAGGAAATGTTGGTGACGTTCCAATCTGGTGAAATAACTTACTGATACAATAATACATTGAGGAGTTTATTGTATTATAGGAAGTTTGAAAGAAAAACGGTGACCAGGAGAAGGATATTTAATAAAAAGAATGCAGACGAGATATTTAACAAGAAGAAAGCAAAATTACTATGATAGATGCAAAAAAGAAAGAATAAAGGTAAAGCATTTTGTTACAATTAGTAAACAAACAAAATGACTAGATAATAGATACCCTATTGTAGTAATATAGGATCAAAAAACTAACAGAGAAGGGAAAGGAAAATTCAAAAACGACCTTAGCTATGGATATGGTAAGAGATGAAGATGAAGAGGCAAGGCAAGAGGAAGAGGAATAAGGGAAAAAAAACTGTGCAAACGTTAAAAACATTTCGTATAAGAGTCGAGGGGATAATGATAACAGGAAAGAGAATGAACAAAAATCGTTTTTTGGAATGTCACCGGTCTGAAGAATGAAGATGATTTTTGAGAATAAATAGCGAATTTTGATATCGTAAGTTTAGTAGAAACATGGATAGAAGTAAAAGGGTGGGAAAGGATAAAAGAGAAAATACCAAGGGAATTTAATTGGCATGACAACAATGAAAGAAAAATTAAAGACAAAATATAAATAAATGACAACCATGTAATTTTAGGCTGAGATTTGAAATCAAGAATAAGAGAAAAAGGGAGGAGAATAGGTAATAGAGAAGACCACGTGAAAAGAAGATAAAAAATGTGAAATAAACTGTTGTAATTAATCAAAGAGACAGCATGGGAGATATTGAATGGAAATAAAACTGGGAATGAGGAAATCGAATTAACCTAGGTAGGGCCGAGAGGATAATTAGTAATAGATTATTCAATAGTGAACGAAAACGCATGGGAAGATATTTCACAGTACAAAGTGGAAAAAACAATACTAAACAGGAAAAAGAAGAGGAGAAAGCAGGAAAAAATGTGTGAATAATATGGGATGAGAAAGCTAGTGGGGCATACGAAGAGAAGTTAATAACACACACTTTAGTTGAAGCAAAATGAATAGAAGTGAAGGTAGAAAAAAGAGTGATTCTACGACAACTGGTCGCAAACAATTGATCGTGCGACAATTGATCGCAAGCAACTCGTCGCAGCACAATTGGTCGCACGCGACAATTGATCGCGGCGACAATTGATCGCAGCGACAATTGATCGCACGTAAATTGATCGCAGCGACAATAGATCGTACGTAAATTTATCGCAGCGTCAATTGATCGCAAGGTAAAATTCATCGGGAAGTATTTTCTTTTATTAAAACTAAATATTTTGTATTCTGAATTTTAAGTTGCAATAAATTTAGCAATCAGGTAAGGCGTAAATATCGAATTAAAAACAATTTGAATATAGATAAGTGACGAAGTTTGTAGTTGCACTTTAAAAATTAAAAAATACGAGCGTAAACATCTTGTTACATAAGATTTTTTATTAATAAATTGTCATTTTGGTTATTTTTTTTAAGAGATTGTTACTATTTATCTCGTTGCTTATTTTACCTATTATATTATAGGAACTAGCTTCATTATAATAAGTACCCAACATAAAAACAAGTGTTTATTGTTCTTAACTAGATTACAATTATTTAAAAAATCATATTTTTAATAACCTTTAAATTTTAACACATTTTGATACAGAATTGCCTCTATTGTCTATTCTTGTCTTTATACATATCACCAAACAATAAAATTTATGAACTAATAGTACATCTAGAGTATCCATATGCAGCGAATGTAAATTCCACTGGACGGATATAATACTTATTTTAATCCCTTGTAAATTGCAACGGATCTTTTACAGGGTTTGAGAAAGATTTACGTGTATTGTAAATATATATTGCAAAAACTTTTGTAATAGCGTCGAGCATAATTTTGTGTTACCGGGAAATCTAAGAAATGTACTTATGCAACTAAAAACTTACTTTTTAATTATTATTATGTGACTTGTATTGTACTGAAGAAAAATTCAGTTGTACCATATGTGGGTGTAAAAAATACATATACAGGGTTAGTCACGAGAAAATTATTTCTGAAAATTATTTTTACGCAACCCAAAATACGAATACCATGTACCACTTGATACTAACTGAATTTAAAATGAAATGCTGAATTCATGATTGCTTTGAGTTTGGCAATGTCATTTTGACAATTCTGGAGAAGGAGGTTACGCGAGTGTCCATGGTGGGACCGCAGCCAGTTGGAGATCTCCGCTGGCGCCGCTAATAAGTTTGTCAGGGCTTGCTTCGAGTGCCTCTTGATCTTTTGCAACCGATTAATGACGAGAAAATTATTTCTAAAAATTCCTTTTACGACAGATATCTCTGTGACGTGTAAAACAGATCTCAGATCTAAAAAAAAGGAAGAAATAATTGGTTCGTAGTTTTCCATGAATGACCCTACTACGGCTGCTACCTGATTATTCTTCTCCGCACTTTGCATCCTACAAAAATTTACAACATGGGCTGGACAAGCCCACCTACGTCCGGCAGATTAGGCAAATAATTCTGAATGAATAGTCGGCCTTCCGAGTGAAATGCCCCTCAATAAGCTTTTCAAACTTCCCAAGCTAAAAATTAGTCACGCCATTGCGAATAACCACTACTCAGTGGCGTCGTCATCCTGATTGTTTCTACTTTTTAACGGTATTCACTGTTTGTATTACTTGTTACTCGTGATGTATTGATTGATTTAAATATTTTAAATAATAATAATTAATAGAAAATATAAATCTGTTATGTGTGTTGTTTTATTCAACAAATTTTATTCCATGAGCCGCTTCAAAAAAAAAACACTGTACGTCACTGTCATCGGGAGTCTTATCTGGGTAATGGGGGGTACTGTTTATGACACTTTACCGGTTTGGCTCGAAACCATCATTTTAAGTCTGGTACTTCCTCCAGTATGAGTATATTCCTTTGCTCCATGGTCAAAACTAATATTTTACGATCTTGTTTACAGAAATGGCGTAAAAGTGGAGATTGGTATGTAGGTACTTGCAAAGGGAACGAGATAAATTATTCATTATTTCGTATCTACAAGCGCCTTATTAACAGTGTGAGCGTTCAAAAAGTTCTGAATGAAAAAACATCTTTGGTTTTATCATGGATTAAAGATAATCCAGAACTAATTTGTAGTGAGCAAAAAATTGTCTGCAAAGAATGCAATAAACTCCAAGATTAATTGTTAATATATAAATTCAAATTTCTTTGCACCAAATTTATTAAAAAATATATACAGGGTTAGTCACGAGAGAATTACTTCTGAAAATTATTTTTACGCAACCCAAAATACGAATACCATGTACCATTTGATACTAACTGAATTTAAAATGAAATGCTTAATCCATGATTGCTTTGAGTTTGACAATCTCATTTTGACAATTGTGCAAAAGGAGGTTACGCGAGTGTCCATGGTGGTACCGCAGCCAGTCGGAAATCTCCTCGGGCGCCGCTAATAAATTTGTCAGTGTGCCTCTTGATCTTTTGCAACCGATTAATCAAGAGAAAATTATTTCTAAAAATTCCTTTTACGGCATTTTATTCAAAGGTTACAACACAAACTCAAACAAGTAAGTAAATAATTTAACTACTAATCTGTTGAAAATGTTGGGCATTTTGGGGGGATGCTACGGCTTTTTTGTAAATGGATGGCCGAAGAAGTCCAGAGGTTGCGGATTTGCACTTCGAAGAGGCTCTAGGTGACGCAGAGATAGCGAATTAACACATGCACATTAGCGGCGAACAACATTGGTAGAGCACTTACGGCTTCAGTATAGCCCAGATTGATCTGACTGTATGTCGTCGATCCAATGGGGCTCTAGAGGCGAGTCAACGATGAAAAAAAATGTTAAAAATTAATTAACGTCAAAGTGACACTGTCGAAGTCAAAGCAATCATGGATTAGGCATTTCATTTTAAATTTAGATAATATAATAGGGTATATAGTGTTTCCACCGATAGATTAGCTGACAGAAAAGTCACCAAATAGACCGCTATAAAAAGTAGTGCCAAACGCGCTTTATTTGAAATATAAGGAGATTTGAAAATAATGTTCAACTACGTAAAATTACTTTTCATAATAACACAATTTATTTCCAACAGACAATATTATCTATACTGGAACATACACTTCGAATAACATTACGTACTTTATATTGAAGTAACAACCTCTGTAGGGCATCTTAAATTAAAATTTTCCTTCTTGAAAAATGAATACGCATTGGCAATCATTTTCTGTGCCACGATGTTGTCAACAACAGTCATACTACACCGGGTTGAAGGGGGCTACAAAATATAATGGTATATAATGATTGCACAGAATAAATCAACAAGTGACTCTTGCGTAATTATGAATTTTATTCGTAATGTCTTCCATGAGGTCCATTTGAAACGTTTTTTGACACAAACAACTTAACCTAAAATGTCCAAACTTCAGCCACTATACCAAAAACAGCACAAAGGTCTATAATATCATACCTAACAAATCAAAACAAATAAAAAAAACACAAACACTAAACTCAAAAAACACACTTTTTAACTTTTTGAACCAAAATTTTAAATTAACGTCAATTAGCTGATCGACCAAAACACAGGTTAAACGAAACCGGCCGACTGGCGCAGGCATAGAGGCGTAGGAAATTCGTTGCGCGGGAAAAGGAACGTTGGTTGCCAACTTAAACTACAACTTTTTAACTGCTTTAAGCGTATAATGTTAGTATATTTTGGATTCTCTGGTTGGCGATTGTGA